GATTGTTATGTATTGCATGAACTTAGGTTGATACTACCCAAAACTAAAGCAGGGTGTCGATTGTGCTCACCCCCTTAATCGAGTCACCTAAGGAAAACCTTCAAACCTTTGCGTAATAAAGGGGACAATAAAAGCTACCATAAATATACAGAAATTTACTCCATTCATTGTCCGAAAAAATGTTTTTGCTTGTGTATTGCTTTCTGGTAATTTTTGTCCTTTGCCGTAGGTAACACCAAAATCAGAGAAAAAAGACTCGCTGTCAGAAACTTCATCCTCAGGTAGATCACAAATAGATAGATAAGTAGGTTAGTCAAACAGCCTGTCGATGTTGCTTCTGAATTAGTGTAATAAACAAATACTCTAGATAAAGAACAAGTTCTTTTTATCAATTGAGTGGATAGTATAAATTGGTCGCAATAAAATATTATAAAGCTGACGTTTTGAGCTTTAGCTCTCCTTCAACTCAGTAAAGATTTCCGGATATCTCATGTCTCATTCGCCTAAATTTTTCCTACCCAACTTATTACAGTTACCTGCCCCCCTCCCCCCTACCCTTCCCACCGTTTGATGTATAATAAGCTATTTTAAATAAATATTTTTAACATTTCTACTTCTTACCTTCGAACTGGCGAGAGTTATGTTGGATACTTGCATCATAAAATACTCAAAACCTTGCGTTCAAACCAAACACTTTGCCTCTTCCCGTGCGACTGTCGATATAGCTTTGAAGAAACAATTTGCCGAAGACTTCACAACTGAGATCGCAAATATCTGATGACTTTCCATCAATTTTCGACTAACATGCATTTTTCCTTTTTTTGTTGAGAGGGGTACATAGGATCTGAAAATAAACGTGCTATTCTTTCTGGGTGGTAACCATGTATAATCGAGAGTTCATCATAAAGATAATGAACATTATGAGACAGACTAGTGTGTCTTTGTCTTGGGCAAATTAGGCTTGAAAAGTGCGAATCAATAGTCCCATTTACAGTTGTGGGCTTGGCGGCCAAGCCTTTGAACAGTAGTGAGGCTAAGGGTGACCCTGTTGAGATAGAGACCTGTATCTAGTTAGCATGATAACAAAGTAATTTGCATTTGAAAAGCAGCAACATCTCTATCATAACAAGGTAACCGTTAGGCTCACTCCTGTTCAAAGGCTTGGCCACCGAGCCCACAGCTGTAAAAAGGACCATTGGGTTACCTTTCATGCAGGCTGACGAGACTGGCACTGTTTCCCGCGTTATGTTTCCGATGGGGCTGTGGAATAACTTTCTTAAAGTCGTCTTGCTATCCAGCGTTCTTCTTCCCGGAGCAGGTAAGATAGTTTACTCTCTGTTTCAGTAAATTAGAGCTTATATCAGTCTATAAGTGCAAATTGGTCTGCATATAATTACTCAAATAAAGAGCAAGATAATAAGTTGCTCAGTCGGTGAGTACTACATGTAGTAACAATAATATCGTACAGGCATAAAACAACACTGTGTGTTGTCTTGAAAAGGCAAAGAGACCAAATTCAGGACAATGAAAGCGAAGCATTCACTAAAAGCTCAACAAAAGGAGTTAACTTCCGTGTGATTGACTACGGAAATTGGATAATGTAGAGAACATACATAACCTACTATTTCATTGGGTAAATATTGGGTTGAAAGAGATCTCATAATAATACAGTTTTCTGCGGTAGTAAGCGGTTTCTTGTCAGACTAAATTATAGGAGTTTATACAAATTATTTTCTCTTAAATAGTAATTTTATGCCTTCTTTCTTTGACCCGGGTTTATTTTACAATCAAGGGGGACTGGGTTTGGGTCAGGGGTCAGTGGCCATTACGCTTGACCCCCCTGAGGGTTTTTACAAGTCACATTAACTCCCTAGCCATGTGCTCATCACTCGCCTCGACTACTCGGAGTGAGAAGCTGTTTTTTGACTCCCTCCTCCTCCCCCTGATCCGCCCACTTTCTCTTGTTGTATATTTAGTGTTGGTGCGTTTTTCTTGGCCCGCACCTTTACTGGGCAAACGCCTAAACGGAATTCATTCTTGTGCTATTTCTTTTTTTTTTCAATAAAAGCGGCTATCGACCTATTGTCCATAGCCATATTGCTCCAGCTTAAGTTTGTTATTTTTTGGTGCCCAGAAAACAGAGCTCAGGGAAGAGCAGCATTTGTAGATTTGTTCTGGGCAAAGAGAAAAAGGCATCAAATTGGAATTGTAAGTGCAACTGAGTGAGATTGATCAGAACCTTTTTAAATACTGATCAAGAATAGTAGAAAATTTTCGTCCACCGCAATCGACTAAAGGCACCACTACTGTGAAAGGAACACCTTGAACAGTCACTGTTTCTGTTCGGGATCGATTTATAAATGATAATCATTGCTCATCTAGGCCATCTTCCGCTTGCTCTGCTTTACAGAACCCGATTATGATAATATGTACCAAGAGCATAAATTACGAAACCAACCATAAAATGACTCACTTCTCACCAAAACTTTTGAATAAGATA